GTGCTTCGGATCTTGGATATATGTACAGGTCGGCCGGTTAGGGTGGAGAGGGTGAGACGCTTAGTGAATGATCGGTGGCCGGTGAACCGCAGGAATTCTAGAGAATTCGACATGATGCCCTAATTTTCCCGTCCTCTACCTTTGCCGGGGGTTTATCTCGTGGTCGCGAAGTACATTCGTACGTATTATGGGTGGTTTACAAAAAAATTAATTTTCTGCCATCTCGTCTCCACTTACTTCCAAAGAGGCAGGTGGTGGATGCTAACTGGCAATTAGACTGTCCACGTCCCTGTCAGCGGATGTCAGCCTTAGCCTTATCGATAGTGCGAAGCTTTGATTCTCGACAAATAATCAAAGGTATCTAGGCGAGACGCTTCGAGAAGCCTTTCGGGAAATACCTCCAACCCATCACCGGGCACGAGTCGCCGAAAGCATGCCTGGCAGGCCACTGCTCTTCGACTTACAGAGCCGGAATGGCCCGATATGTCGAACGTGCCTGCTTGCCATTCGGCAAAATGTAGTGCCGCCGAGAGTAGCTGCGTACAGCTCGCAGGCTCCCCCAAAGACAAAGGCAACGCAGCCTTCTCGAAATCATGGTTCGATTGCCAGACGTGCCACCAAGGCCGAGTTGGGGCAATACCTCCAGGGCATCAAAGATCTGCAACGACAGTCAAGAAACGACGAAGACAGCCAAGGATTCTCGGTACGGTTCTTCGAGCAAGACGGGCATAAGCGAAGCGAGATACCAAATGGCGAGGCGTTTGATGACTCCGTGGGTAAATTAGACGGTTCCGAATTGAAGGAGACTCTCCGAGACATTCAAGCCAGCTTGGGCTCAAAGGAAGAAAGGGACGCATTTCAAGCTGTGCTGCGTGAGGTTGGCGGCGACGTGAGTAGCGTCGAATCTGCTACGGATTTGGAGAAGATGATGAAAAGGATGGAGGCTTATACCAAATCAATCGACGCCGAAATTGAGAGTGCTGGCTCCAACTTGCCGAAAGAAGTACTAGAGGAGCTACAAAGGGACTTGGGGGATCTTCCCCTGACCGATCAAGACTTGAGACCTCGGGTCGCCCTACCTCAAATCTCCGAGAAGCCGTGGACACCAAATCAACGCAAAAAGATTAACAGGCTCAACGTGGTTCTAGCACGAGCTTTTCGGGAATCCCGTCGCGAAACTGGGCTCACCAGGAATACCGTATCGGCAGTGTACAAGGCCTATCACGCGGCGAGAATCACACTAGCTCGTGGTTGGGGCCATGTTCCTATCAATGTGTGGGACCTGCTTTGGACAGCACTTTCTGCCGACGAATCTATCAACATTCACCGATTAGCTCACGTATCTTTACTCGCGAGAGACATGAGCGAGGCCAGGGTGACACTCAGCCCGTCGCAGCAACTCGTCACAATTGAGGCAGTCTTTGTCGACGGCTGGGAAGCAAAGGCGATTGAGAATTGGAAACGTTGTGTCAGCACTCTCGGAGACGAAAAGGCCGAAACATTCCAAGACTACTGGGAACTCGGTGTCCGGATATTCTGTCGGGCTGGTGATTTGGATCAAGCCGAGCGGGCTGCCAACATACTGTTGAGCAAACGTATGGACCCACGCATACTAATGCCTCTTATTCGAACATGGTCTGAACAAGGAACTCCAAAAAGCCAACAGCAGGCGTGGACTGCGTATCGAAGGATGCGGGAGTTGCTAGGCAAGGAAATGAGACTCTCCGACTACGATCAGGTCATATCATACTTTTTAACAACAAATCAAACGGAAAATGCCCTGTTCGCATTCGTCGACATGATGAGCGACGGAGAGATCGACCTGAAGAAGCAAAAGTACATGCCGTCGGTCGTGGCAAACAAGTTCTTCTTGGGCAAATGGCTAAAACGGTTGATTGGCGCTGGAGATCTCAACGGGGCTTTCAGCGTCGTGCAGTTTATGCGCAAAAGGGGCGTGGCCGCATCTCCAATTCACCTCAATGGTCTCATTGGTGCGTGGCAGAGATCGGGGGGTGCAACTGATCTAGAAAACGCAGACAGACTTGCGTGGGAAATGATTGAATCCCGTATCCGCTTCGTCAGGTCACGGGCTGCGTCACCGGCGGAACCAGAGCCAAATGCCTCCTGGCCGCGAGCAACGCTTGAAACCTTTTCTCTCATGGCAGAAAACTACCGCCGTCGTGAAGTACACGCCCGCATGGAATCCCTCTGGAACGCCTTTCGCGAGTCGGAAATCAGCCCAGACGCCTTCATGATGAACCAGCTCCTCGAGTCATACCTCCAGGCAGGTCAGCCCAAAGACGCACTTGACCTGTACCGCTCCCTCGTCGCGCAGCGCGGCATCTCCCCAGATCCCTATACATTCAGCGCCCTGTGGAAAACTCTCCCCATAAACAGGCTCCACGTCATCTCTCCGTCCTCGCTGCCGGCGGAAATCGTATCCACGCGGCAACTGTTTTCCGAAACGGTCAGGTTCAAGTCCGTTTTTGAACCAGACGGCATGGATGGCCAACTCGCTCGTAAAATCCTCCATACGTTTCGCCGACTCAAAGACAACGCAGGCTTCCTTGTGGCGCTCACCGCCCTGAAACAAGTGTTCAAATTTTCGCCCCCCGAGACACTAGTCGTGGAGCTTGTGCTTGGCACGACAAAACTATCGTGGGATAGTGCGTCGCAGAGAAAGCGTCTTATTCTGGTCAAGAGGACGCTGGATAACGAGTTATTGGCGTGGGCGGAAGGGGATGTGAGCAGGTTGGAGGGCGAAAGAAGAGAGGATGCCCTGTACGTGTATTTGCAAAGAAAGTTCTGGTTAGAGGGGACGGATAAGCAGAGGAGAAAGGTTCTGATGGACACGGCGAGGGAGATGGGTAGTTTGGAGGTGTTGGCGCCCAAGTCGTGAATATGGCTTCTTGTGGCTGGCATATGGAGAGCAATGTATAATAGACGGCGTGTATAATAGACTCTCTTCGATCACAAATGTCACCATGACCATTCTCGAATGGAGCAGTTTTTGACCGTGTGCTTCTTTCAGTGTGCAGGCTAGAACAGCTACATCGTGCAAAAATAAAATAGTGGTATTCTTTCTTATTTCCATCCCTACAAAACCCAAACTCCTCGCTATGCAGAAATCAAGCCCTTCCCCAAAAGACAAGAGTGTGGCCCTTTGCCCGACAATTCGTCTTCGGTCCCCGAACTCGTTTCCGTTCATGGCCCCGATCTCCCTACGAAAGGTCCATGTCATCGTCAAGTCTGCTCCCTACTGAACTCAATCCCGAACTAGGAGTAGGTGAGCCCCGATCGCGACTCGTCTCGCCGCGTTTTGTATTTGTCGGGTTGGCATGAAATGAGCTCCGCTGCATGATCCATTCATTTATGGTCGTCACCGGTCCGCCCTCAACTTGGATCTCGGCAATCGTATCGAGGGGCCTGCCAATAACGGTTCCCGTGAATTTACTATCTTCTGCTGTTTTGGCGTGCTTCTTCTTGAGGGCTGCAACAAAACGTTAGTGTCTTGGTGTCGCTCTATTCCCATGCAGCCAGAGTGGTGTGTCCCCCCCCCTTCCCTCGCCCCCCAAACAAGGAAAAAAAAAAAAAGCTAAGCTCTCACCGTTCAAATAATCCGTCGCATCAATTTCACCATCTCCGATTCCAATCTCCATAAATTCCGTCATCCGTTGACCTGAAAACCATTCGATGAACTCATCTACACCCCTCGTGTCTTCCTCCCCGAGCCACGATTGCTCCGTGGCGGTCTTTTCCGGCAGGAGCGCGCCGACTTCTTGGAGAGCCAACCGCACGTCAACGACGGTGTAGTCACCCGCGTCGCCTTGGTTGTGGATGGCGTGCGAGGCGGTCTTTTCACACAGCGCGGCTAGGTATCGAGCCGCTATGTCCGTGAGGGAATCTACGACGGATGGTTTCGCAGAGTGGTAGCCCGTCGAGCGGAGGATCTGGAGGATAGCCGGACGGAGGAGCGCATGGAAGAATGCTGACTGCGTCGTCATTGTGAAGACTATTTGGAGAGCGAAAAGATGTAATCGTTTGCTGAGCGATCGTGTGGCGTTGGGAGCTTTGCGCTGCTGCTGCTGTAACCGACGGTGTCGCGATCGAGGACCTCATCGGCTGGTTCGCAATTGTGAAGCACAGCGCATATTCGGAGAAGGCCGTATTTTTGCTTGTGTGGTGTTTGCCGTTCGAGTTTTGAGTATCAGGTTCGGTGTCTAGTATGAGCTTCTACACATTTGGGTTTGCTTGTGCAGTTAAGAAGCTTGCTGGAAGGTTGGAGTGCAGACAGTGCGGATATGATGTAATTGGCACTTGGCACGGACTACGCCTTTAATATGGCCGGACTCGAACTGGCTTGATTACTATATTCATTTACCCAACCTCCCGTGTGCCTTTTTTTTTTCCCTTGCATTGCGTTTATTTTGTTCGCATATATGCAGGCCCAACCTACGCGGCTTCTTCCTGGCCGGCAATTCCGCTATACTTATTGATAAAGCCCAATACTTCTCGGTGCCATACAAGAGAGTTCTCTGGCTTGATTGTCCACTAAAGATCTTGTCAGCTAGGCTAATAATTTTTTTTCTACACAGATGTCTGCATTGAGTACTCACATGGTTCTCATCCGGAAATACAACAAGCTTACTCGGAACTTTTCGGGCTTGCAGAACGTTGAACATGGCCAACCCCTCAGAAATTGGCAGTCTGTAATCCAACTCATTGTGCAGAACCTATCCAGATACGTCAGCCTGGGACATAAATAATTCAGTGGAGTGAACGAACCATCATTGGAGTTTTCCAATTTTGGCAATGCAGAGATGGATCCCATTTGGCATAGGTCTCTCGGTTCTCCCACAGTGTGCCGCCAAAGTCATGCTCAGGGAAAAACAGTTCCTCGGTTGACCATTGATTTTGAGTTGAAAATACACCGTCATGGCAGACAAGGGCCTTGAACTTGCGTCCCAGGGGTTGGCCCTGGATCCAGTCTAGAAAGGCTGTTAGCGGGCTGTCTTCGCCTCGGCGTCGGGACCATACATACTGATCATGTAGCCTCCGTACGAAGCTCCCAGCGCCACTGATCGTGAGGTATCAATGTAATCCACATTCTTTTCCAAGTGCTCAAAGCACAGCACCAAGTCCTCGTATGGATTGCCTCCCCAGTTACACGTGATGGCGTCGATGTGTTTCTGGCCGTAGCCAGTGCTGCCAGTCGGGTTAGGGGAAACGACAACGTAGCCCTGCTCGGCGAAGATGGCCGGGTTCCATCGTGTACTCCATTCATCCAACCACGCACCCTGCGGGCCGCCGTGGATCAGAAAGGCCAGAGGATATTTCTTTGAAGGGTCAAAGTTGGAAGGTTTTGTAACGAGAGCGTGTACGTAGTACCCGAGCGATCCGCGGTACCAGAAATCAGCTCGCATAGAATTGTTAAGACCAAAGGACTTGCCATTTTTGGAACTTGACGAGATCTCGGTGACTGACTTTGACGTGGGGTCCAAAACAGCGTACAGCGAGCTCTCAATACGGGACTTGGAGCTGATGAGCAAGCTGGGACCATCCCCCAGCAGCTTGGCGTCACTAACGCAGCCGTCCAGGTGGAAAGGTATAGGCAGCTCGTCAGCATCGGCGGGAGAAGAGGAGAGCTTCCAGAGTACAACTTGGCCGTGCTTCTCGGCGCCAACGTACAAATCCTTTTCGTCGTGGCTCCAAACGATCCAGTCTGGCCTCAGGTCCCAACCGCCCTCGCCATCGCTTGTCTCATAAAACTCTTGAACGTTGCTAAGATCGTTGACGTCGGGAACAAGCAGCAACCTGGTCTTGTCGGCCTCGTACTGAATATTCTTCATTCTAGCAAAAGCAATTTTGCTGCCATTCTTGTTAAAGGTTGGGGCAATACTGTAACCCACCAAGTTGCCAGTCTTGACAATCAGCGGAGCGGGTGGTTTCTCAACAAACGACTTGATGGGTACGTAGTAGAGGTCAGTCTTGGTGTATCTTGCGGGATTGATGTTTGGATCCCTGGCCACGAAGCAGATACCATGGGCGGAGATGTCAAAATCGCCAGAGGCTCCGAATGGAGGAACAGGAGACTTAAGGTCGGTACCGGCCAAGAGGTTGGTCAGGCCCGGGCTTTCCAGAGCCCATCTTCCGTCAATCTTGGCCAGTTGGCCGTACCATAATGAATTCTCATTCGGAGTGTTCCAGGTATCCCAATGGCGGACGTAGAGAGAGGTGTAAATCTTGGCCGAGTCGTGGGCCTTGTGTTCGGCGGGAGGCCAGTACAACTCCCCCTTGGGAGTGGTCAGTCCGGCGAAGCAAATGGCGACCTTGCCGTTTGACAAGACCTTGGTCCTGGGGCTTGAAACATTTCCAGCCAAGTAGTGGACCATCTGAGGTCTACGTTTCGGTGTGTACCGAGTATTAGTCCGATGCTTCATTGCTCTGGCGGTGTGCAACATACTCCGAGTTGTCCAGCACCCGCTGGGCCATAATCATGGTGCAGCCATTGTCACCACCCTTGAGATACATGACCTCCTTCTCGCCAATCCAAACTGGGTCGCTAGCGCCCGAGTCCTCAGAAACAAGGTGTGAGGTGCCTTCTTTGATGTTGAGGACTCTGATCTGAGAAGACTTGGAGTGAGTCTCGAACGAGTACGCAGAAACCTAGGGTCAGGTCAGCTGAGTAGGCCAGCTTGAGGCAGTACTCGGACGTGTCAAAAGACACACGCTTGAACAAAGCACATTCAATTAAGCGCGAAGGAGTGAGGACCTACGGTGTAAAGCACCAGCTCACCCGTCGAGTTCGGAACACCAGCCGAACGGCGAGGCGCAGAAAGGAGCACCTCTGGGGTGAAGCGAGCAGCGTGGACCGTCATTCTGGGCAACTGCATCTAGAAATCATCCCAGTGAAGGGCAGGGACCTATAAATATGAAAGGAGGAAGAGAAGTCCTTGGGTGGCACAGAATTAGAGAATTGAGAAGCTCGAGGTCGTCCTTGTCTACGACGACGTACGGGGTAGTTCCGTTTACGTACTCGTGCAGCACCCAGATGAGCAACCTCTATGGCCAGAACTGTCTAGCCAGATCTATCGCACCGAGAGCAAAAACTGAGGCTTGGCCCCACGAGAGCACGAGAGACCTTCCAAATCCATCAATAAATTTGAGGCTTCCATGTACTCCTCTGGAATAGAGTTCCAAAGAACGTGAGCAGAGCTCCCCCGCCTTCAGAGTTCAGACACTCGAGCCCCGCACGGAACAAGCCATGTTTGGCGAGGAGAGGTACATGTACGGAGTACTCCGTAGCAAGGTCCGAGATTCTGTCGTGGGGCGCGCGCCGCACGCATTGGTCGGCCAGCAGTTAGTCATCAGGGTGCATACCAACTTCTCCAGTGGCTGCAGTACCCCGTTGCATCTCGGATAGTCCAAAACTGGGGTCAGGGACCCAGGGTGCTTCAACGTTGACATTTGAATCGACAAAAGGTCATCGTACAGAAGCGCAGCCATGACAAACCATAATTGTCGTCATTCTAAAGTTGGTGCCAAGGTACGAATTCCCACGTCCTGTAGCCGATTCTGATCGCAGCCCCCGCCAGAAAAGTGAGCTGTATGTTCCATTTCACTCTGCAAACTTCACGCAAATGCTGCTCTGTAAATCGTCCGGCCATCTACTCTAAACGGGCCATCCCATTCCATCCGTAACGCCAACCCAAAGGCCAAGACAGCTGCGTTTATCGCAAACCAATCTCCCAATGCCACAACCCTTTACCGAACTCCCAACTCCCCAAAATCAAGAACAAACGGCTCAATAGTCCAGCTTTTCTCCCACTCTACTTTCTCGACGCTCCGAAATTTGTCCTCTTCTTATTTCCCCCAACATCATTCTCACTCTCCTCGACCTCCTTGTCCGCTACAGAAGCTGCCTTCTTCTTCTTGCTATTATTCTTTGTTCCCGCTGCTGACGACGGCGTCCCGTTATCCCGAAACGTAGCCGACACAGGCGTGGGCGCGTGCGATGCTGGCGTCGATCCGGGCGTTGAGTCCTACAGAAAATGCCCCATCATCAGTATATAGTCCATACAAAACACACTGGGTGTCGTGTCAAAAGTACCCCGTTGTTTGGTCTATACGAAATAGACGACTTGGAAAAGACGCGGTTCTGATCCGCCGGTCCTGCTTTACGTCTTTGTGCAGCCGCGCCGCTCGTTCCTTTCATGTAATTATCGAATCCGGTAATGATGTTGCCGCTTGGTGTGCTTTCGAGGTATGCCGCTTCTTTGGAAACAATGGTGTCTTCTACTTGCGTCTGCGTTATGCTATTAGTGACCAAAAACCCTCGCAATTCTTCGGCGGGAGACCTACCAGACGCTTCTCCAAGACTCTTCGCTTCTCAATCAGCTCGCGCACGCGGGCCTGAGACTTTTTGTATTCTGCCAGAGTCGGCAGAGGCCCTGGGCCGCCCTGTTTGTTGTCCGCCATACGCACGTCGTCTGGCGGTATTAGGCTCCGGATTGCGGGGGCATGAATCACTTGGCCAGCGTTGAAGTAAGGGGCACGGCGCTTTTGATGCGTATTTTCGACAGCAAGCGGTGTTGCGATGAACTGTGCTCTTTGGTGTTGAAATGTGCCCGACGCAGCCCACCTTGAGTCTTGAAAACGCCATGGTGGAGCCGAAGAACAGCAGCTGCCACCAGACTGAACCAGGTCGAGCTCAGCGTAGCGCCAGGTGACGTGACCCGCCTCCAAACTTTCAAGAGTTCAACCTCCCACCAAACCTGCAATATTATAGTATTTTACATTGACAGATTTGCCCAAATCTTCACATTGTAAAGATACCTGGTTCACAGTAGTTGCGCTAATCAATTAATTTTTATTTTCTGATACTACAATAGTAGGATCATGTTCGCTTGTTTTTCCGCTGTAAGAAACAGAGCCTTGATGGATGCCCCAATGCAGCGTCAAACAAGGATACCCAATCATTCTTTACTCATCCCCCCTGCCTTCATTAGTGTGCCTACCAGAATGGAATCCTAGTAGGACATGGCTCTCGTGATGTACTCTTGGTATTCAACGTCATTATAAGCAAAACGCCCCAAAGGCTAGGCCTAAACGAAGAATTCGAAAATCGTCATCCACTTTCCGGATCACTTCGTTCATCATCACGGTAAGAGCAGCAAGGTATTGTCGTCATGTTTTTTCTTCTTAGCGTTGAATTTTTCCCTTCAGAGTTATCACCGGGAACAGATGGCTCCTATACCATTTATCTCGTTCGCATCCCTTCATGGCGAGAGGCGGTCATCTTGCAAATCATCAGCTAGTTTTCCACGTTTCAAAGAGGTTGAGGAAGCGGAGGAACTATTCCGCCGTTTGTCTGTGTCCCGTTCTTTTCGGCGACTGTCTCTGCCACGGTCTTTGCGCTCATCTCTTTGGTAGTTGTCGGAATCTTCGTCATCGGAGCTGTGTCGGCGCCTGTACTGCTTTCTTACTGGGGAGCTTCTATCACGACTGCGAGATCTAGACCGACTGCTAGAACTATATGATGATGATCTGCGCCTTCGACGCGGCGGCGATCTGCTTTGTGACTCCGATTGTGCCCTCCTCCTCTTTCGAGCGGGTGAACTGCGGTCCGAAGACACAGAGCGAGATTGACGGGAAGAACTGGAGCGACGTCGGTCATGCCTTGGACGGTATGCATCTCCTCTCGGCGATCTGGACCGCTTCCGACCTCCAGGGCGCCTTGGCGACGAGACTCTCCGGCGTGGAGGAGAGTTGGATCTGCTGCTAGCTGTGCTACCAGATGCGCTCCTGTCGCGTGACCTCGAACGTGAGGATTTTCCCAACGAATGTGATCGCGGTCGATGTCGACGACGGTCTTGGTCTCTTCCCCGTCCCTGGCGATCGTTTGGGACATATCGGTCACGGTCGCGGCCATATTGGTCTCGCGATCTGCGATTGTGGTGATCGGATCGCCTATTCCGATTGTCAAGATTCTGGTTTCCGCGTCGACCCTGCCAAGTATCAGCGCGATTGTTTGCCCTGTCACGTCGGTCTCGTTCCTTCAGGTCTGAAATTCCACGGTCCCGACGATCAAAATCATCGCGGCGTCTGCGAGCATCATCGGCGGCCTTGTCAGCGTCTCTCTAAGAATGGCGAATTAGCATTTGATTTTGTGGAAATTGCCGACTCGTGTGGTCTTGGTCGTCACCTTTTCCTGCATTAGCTCTAGCTTTTTCGCCTCGAGAAGTTCCTTGGGCACACCCTGAGGGCTGGTTTGGGCACTCAGCAGCAGCATCCATAGGTCTTTGCAAAAAGGCGCGGTATCCTTGTCCAAAAATCCAGTGAGTTGAATCTGAAGGGACTTGATGTCAGGCTGTAGAGTGGAGAGTCAGCGGCGCTGATAAGCACACGGGCAAGCATTGTGTCCAAAGTTCCATCAACTTACGTAGCGTGTGCCCTCGATGAGATTGAAGCAGAGCTCAATGACAACGTCATCTTCATTGCCTAGGATATCGGAGATTTTATTTGCAATCCACCTAAACAAAAGTAGGGTCAGCATCATGCGAGGGATGGATGGGCTGGCACGGTTGGGCCCTCGAGAGCTTACTTTTTCATGACCTGCAGATTGACCTTTTGCATGTCGACCTTCTGATTGAACTCTGGGGGAAATTTGGTCGACTTCAAAAGCCGAGCGTCAACTTTGGACGCCATGATGGGCAAGGTCGAGGTGCCAATTGCGTGCCAAAACCAGCCCCGTTGAACTGACGATCAAAAGAACAAGGTTTGTTTGGAAAAGAGAGTGACGTCTGTTGTCAGCAGAAGAAGTGCTCCAGTCCGTACCTAAGGCATGTTCGACAGGGTACGGAGTACAGTGCCCAAGTGCTGGGCGCTCGCACACGCATACGGAGTACAATACAACATGTACCAGCGGGCTGACATCTCAATAGCAGCAAGGAGCAGGTTGCTGCATGTGGCCCACTAGGCTCTTCACGGCAAGCGGAGCTGACATTTGTGGACAGACGTGCTGTGCTGACATGCTCCAGCGCCGTTTGGCACTTGACTCCTCCATTCCATGTTGGAGCTCCTGACTTCATCTTCATGGGCATCACCTTCAATACGCCACACCCAGTGGCCCTTCGTGCCAGTGGACATGGAGCATTTGACGCTGACGGAGAGGCAATTCGAGAAACAGGGAATAACAATGCTTTTCAGGCCCTTTCCAGTTACTGGCAACATTATATTGGCAGGACGAACATACAGTTATTTGTGAGAACCTACCTCCTTGGACGATCCAGGCACAGCCCCAACCAAGAGTCCCAGTTACAGGGCCGACATAACGAGCCGTTCCAGCACAAGAGAAATGAAATGATTTCTTACTAGTCTGTAAACAAAATTCTGTAAATGATATGAGGCACGCCCTTTTTCTTTCACCGAAGCAACTCTGTGAGCAACTCGGTGTGCAAACTGTACGGACTGTTGTCTGCAAGTTGGGGTCACTCCAGGCTGCACCAAGTACGTACCTAGAGTGCCAGAGACCCCGCAGCATCGCGGCGGACCTTACTACTGTTTGTTATCCAACCACGGTCGACAGTTCAACAGTTTTGTCCCGTGCTACCATCGCGGAGAGACCCTGAAGCAGCCATTGTCATCACCCAACGAGTTTCAAGATCGCGCTCAGTGCTACTAATCCATGATGGATAGCATGCATGCGCCTACCGTGCCGTCCGGCCCGACCAGCAACGGCCTCACTAATGGCAACGTGGGGCATTTGAGCTTCGGGGAGCTCCAACGCAAAAAGGAAGCTTTGGAGGAAGAACTGAAGGCCCTGGGCGGCGTTCTCGATTTGGTATGTCCCCTCAAGATCCATGGGCTTAGATCCTCTGAGTTCTGACTGGTAGAAAGCACGGAGTAAACATGGAAACACCTCTTGTCACCGGAGATGGCTTTCCTCGCTCTGATATTGATGTTGCTCAGAGTGAGTTGCTCCCCAGCCTCCGCAGTTCAAGTATGTGGGCTAATGTGGAAAAGTCCGCACCACAAGAGCGAGGATTGTCCGACTTAGAAATGACTACAAGGATCTCATGAAGAATATCGAAAAGTACCTACATCAGCATTTCGCAACCCTGAGTGAAGGCGACGAAAATGCCGTGCCAGCCTCAAGCACCACTCTCCCGCCTGTTTTACCCGACTCGCAAGCTGATGCTTTGGACGAGGCCTTTGCAAAGGTCAACACTGTCGCCGTTGGCGGCCCAGCTGACCGCGCTGGTTTGAAAGAAGGCGATGAGATTCGCAACTTTGGATACGTAAACAAATCCAACCACGACAACCTTAAGAAGGTGGCTGAATGTGTTCAAGGGAATGAAGGGGTACGTTGTTGAAGTTTCCAACTTAGATTCGCTGAACGTTCTAACACGTCCCAGCGTGGCATTTTCATCAAGGTGTCCAGGGCTTCGGGCGCGGCTCAACGTCAGGAGTTGCGCCTAACCTTGACGCCTACTCGAAATTGGGGTGGCCGAGGCTTGCTCGGATGTCACATCCTCCCTTTATAATGCATCGCCCAATATGGTTTTGGGTTACGTATATCGACCATTTGTTGCCATAACGCAGACACACCAAAATGTATAATGCACAGACATTAAGCGACGACCATGCCGATGGTGCGATTGGTATTAGGTTAGGCACCCATCGCACGGTTTGGTGCTGGGCATACTGACCGCTGGCACAGAGCCAACATTTGGGGGCTTTGTCATCAAACGGACCTTGCGTTGGGCATTGTACTGCGCCTGAGGGAAAATCTTTATCTTCCTTTTTTTTTTTTTTTTTACATTTGGAACACCTCCGACGGAAAGCTAGAGATCAATGAGTCAGCCTCACCCAAGTTGCCAATGTAGCTTAGGCACCGCTTGAGGTGGCGAGGGAGTCGGTGCCTTGCAGGACATGGAGCTTGCAGCTGGGCGCCTGAAAGAGTATTGCCTGAAGGATGGGATGATTTTTCTTTTTGTTGATAAATACCCATATGCCTGTCTATATATACGGATGGAGATCACAGTACGGCTGCTACTCTTTTACTGATACGCAGACTCCATAGCTTTCTCTCAGTCGCAAAGCCTTGGTAAGTAGCAACATAAAAAAATTGCTGCTGTATCGGCACAGTGTATTTTCAGGCGGTGACGTTATCCATATTGTGCGAAGCCCCGGCCCCTGATTGGAACGCACGCATGCACTGACATCACGTGCATGAGCCCGCCCCCCAGCAAGTCTGAATTTTTTCGCTCTGGCTTGCCCTGGTCCCAGAGGTTCCCCGCCGCCTTTCAAAACATCCTGCTGACCGACCTCGTGCAAGTTTGTCTTCAGCACATCCCACGCCCGTGAGACCTCAAAAGGTATTGTCAACCCCGTCGCTTCTCGCATTGAACTCCATCTTGAAACCCACGAATTGCGCATTTGCCGACCCGATTTCAACGTTATCTCCCTTCACTATCGCCTCCATCGCCGAGCAGTAGGCTAACTCCGCCCCTTCTAGCACCCCGCTTGTTTACATCAGTTTTTCCTCGGGACGAAGATCGAATCGCGAAGATGGCTGAACAGCAGACTCCCACTTTCAAGCTCGTGCTTGTCGGTGACGGTGGTACCGGAAAGGTTCGTGAAAAGAGATGTTTGTATAGGAGCTTTTCTTTTCTTTTTTTTTCCGGCGTCGTCGTCAGAGACCCAGGGTGGCGGATATGGTTATCTACCCCGCCTAATGAGGAGCATCGCCCGCCATTTCGATGATGAAACGATGATGATGCTAACTGCACGTTTGCCATAGACCACCTTTGTCAAGCGTCACTTGACTGGTGAATTCGAGAAGAAGTACATTGCTACCCTCGGCGTCGACGTTCACCCTCTTGGCTTCACTACAGTGAGTAACGATACGGCTTGCCCTCCTCCCCGGGCTCCCGAGCCGTAGAAGACAACGCGCTAATTATCATTCCAGAACTTTGGTCCCATTCAGTTCGATGTCTGGGATACCGCCGGTCAGGAGAAGTTCGGTGGTCTTCGTGATGGCTACTACATCAACGGCCAGTGCGGCATCATCATGTTCGATGTCACTTCCCGTATCACCTACAAGAACGTCCCCAACTGGCACCGTATGTCCCCGCCTGGCACACAGACGAATCAAACCAATCCGGGATAATCTTCTAACGCATTTACAGGTGACCTCGTTCGTGTCTGCGAGAACATCCCCATCGTCCTCTGCGGCAACAAGGTGGATGTGAAGGAGCGCAAGGTCAAGGCCAAGACCATTACCTTCCACCGCAAGAAGAACCTCCAGTACTACGATATCTCCGCCAAGTCCAACTACAACTTCGAGAAGCCATTCCTCTGGTTGGCCCGCAAGTTGGTTGGCAACCCTCAGCTGGTATGTTTGAGTGCTTGGCCTGGATGTCCGGATTACAAGTAGAATGAGCGACTAACCATTGCTACAGGAGTTCGTTGCCGCTCCTGCTCTGGCTCCCCCCACTGCCCAGGTCGACGAAGCCCTCATGGAGGAATACCGCAAGGAGATGGAGACTGCCGCCGCTCAGCCCCTGCCTGGTGAGCTTTCCGACGACGACTTGTAAATCAGTCCGCTGTCTGCAGGATAATTGCAAATTGTTTGGGAGGATGACGAGATGGTCCAGCTAGAATCGGCCGTCTTCGTATATTGAGGGTGGCCCATGTGCGGCCGGGATGACCATTTTACGATACAAGGACGGGAATTATTAAGTTTTAAAGAGCGTGATTGGAGAGGGCGGACCCATGCCCATTATACCTCAGTTGGGGTAACATGGCGGCATTGCTGCAAAAAAAAGGACAAAATAGCAGCTCACATTAGTTAGACTACATCAAAATTACTCTTGCCATGTCATAGTTCTGACTGCATTTCATGTTTGCGGGCCACGTCCTATAGATGCTTGGAGTTGATGCCGGGTACTTGCTGGGTGTCTGACGTAAGGTGGCGTGATGATGGGGTAAAGGAATAGCGAAATACCGTCACTAACGCCAGATGCCGTCATGGGCGATGTTTGATGGTAAAGTCTGTTCCAGCTAGCGCGCCAGCCCAACGTCCAAATCGCGCGGTAGTTGTATGTACGGTACCTACCCGCTACTCGCCCGGTCCTGGTAGTCCGCAGTGGGATGACAACAAAACGCCTATTTGGTGGATAAGCTAGCTTTTCGAGGTATTCTGACATGTCTCCTCAGCCATGCCTCTGACCAACTGGTCGTGTTGTTATGCTTGCTTGGTGGGTAACTCCGTGTGGGGGGATGGGCATTAACGAGCTTGGGATCTCGTGCAAGAGTCGGAGTCTCACCATTTTCGATCCAAATGTAGCAGTACGGACACGTCCTTCATGAGAACTCGGGGAAATTACACGCCGCTGGCTGGTCTTGGGCGCTCACAGAAGAAGCATTCCACGTCCTTTGACTCTGTAAGCTGATGTGCAATCCAGTGAGTGACATGAGAGTCATCGAAAGGCGGCCAAATCCTGACTGGTGCCCGAAACATGACGACAGACGTGGGACACGGTCTCGTGACCGGATGCATCCCGATATCGAGGATGCACTACGACGTACTCAGATGATGGATACAACAGCAATTGCCAACGACATAAAGGACGAAATATGGATGGACATTGCCGTTCTCAACCCGATGATGTCGGGCGGAGCACAGACCCGGGAAGGAAGGGGAGGGGGGGAGGGGTGTGACGTGTGAGTAACGGCCCGCGTCCGCCGCGTCTGCGGGGCAGAAAGAACGGTGAAGGGGGAGGAGGCTTTTTATCGTTATGGGGAAGAGAACGGCTGCAAGGCTCAAAGGGACCTGGACGAGAACAACAAACTAACAGACGTGCGTCTTGGCTTCTGAATGACCTGGAAGTCAATATGAGTGGACAGAAGCATGCGGGCACTCGAGACAAAATAGCCCCTACGTGGGAAGCAAAGAGGGAGAGATGGAGTCCGAAACGAGCCAACGGCCCAAAAACATAAACATGGAATAAAAATCAGAAAACACCGAGTGACGCAGGGGAATTGATGCAACAATTATCAGGCTGGGCGAGTGGGAATGAACGAGGAATCGAACGCAATGCAATGCCTGCGCTGGTCAAAAATTTTGTGTACGGAGCACAGCATCACTCATCTCATATTCCAGAGGTTGGAATCGTGGAAGAACGCACAGATCATGCATGGTTTGGCGTCCAGGATCTAAAGTTGTTTTGTTATGTTGTGTAACCGTCTCCAGCAACCCCAGCCCATAACGCGTGCCCGCAAAGACACAAAGAAGCGGGCAAGTAGTCCATAAAGAGGGAAAAAAAAAAACAAAAAAAAAAACAAAAGACAACGCATCCCTGTGCACACGCCCCCCCAAAATAGTGGACGAACCAGTCTTTTGCCATGAACCGGGGGCATGTGGGAGAATCAATAAAAAAAAGTGACGCAGCCACTTTATTTATTTGGCTGGGCTATGGAGTATTATTAGTTTATTTTATTTTATTTTATTTTTTTTTTTGTATTTTAGCTCAATCAAATCACCTCTTTGGGACGTGGCCACGCCAGGCGCGCGATGTGATTTGCCGTGTATTGGGAGGATGTACACAACGTAGAATACGAATTACACACAATACGTGGGAGAAGGGGGAATTAGAGACGAGGCGGTTTTGATTTCGCGCGAATGCAAATGGACGCGCCCGTCTCATGTGCAATGCATAGGAATAATTGACGACCGTCCTCTGCTGCGTTTATGTGCGGGTTTGAGCATATCACAGCCCATATCGTACACGCCCTCCCACGGGGGCCCCCCCTGTCCAGGCTGCGCTTGAAGGTGGGTTTCGCCTCGGGCAGCACTACTTGTGCGTGTGCGTGTGCGTGTGCGTGTGCTTGCGCCTGTCTGGTTCTGGTCGTTGCTTGTAGTCACTCGGTATTTGTCTGGCAGGGCCGCAGCCGCGCATGTACTCTCAGCGACGGTATACCCAGCACCTGGGTACCTGGGTGCCTGGGTGCCTGGGTGCCCTGGCTCAATCAACCATTCCTAGACCACCAACTCCGTAATACTCCACGCCCACGTCCCACGTACACGCTTACACGCTCTCGTGCACTTCTCTTTCCCAACTCGCCCATAAACCTGTGCCTGGAGCGCCTTTGATCTCTTTCCTCCATTTCCCTGGCGGTCTACTGTTTCCTCTTCCTTTGGTCGACATCCGGAGCTGAAATACGCAGACTTGGGGCCCTAGTAATGCATTACGACTCTTGAAACTCGCTTCACCACCAGATCCCGCCACGATCCCTCCCCCGCTGCTGCTGCCGCCGCCGCCGAGGAGAAAACTCAATGTCGGCGACCACGCCCTCCGCCTCCCCGGAGCAGCAATCAGCCAGCTCCCCTAGCCAACATGGTTCTTCAATTCTGTCTCAGAGTATATTGAGTGCCGGGGACGAAAGTCTTGCTCAGGGTGCCGAGATGGAGAAGCATCCCAAGGGCAAGAGGAAGAGGACCGCGTTTGTTTGATCCCCGTTGCAAAGCTATAGTGGGCAT